ATTGTTACCCCCAATACCCCCTCCAAGGGGGGGGGGGGGGGGCAGAGGCTTGTAAGCCCTCCTATGTGAGAGCAATTAAAGTTTAAAAAAAGTTATAAAAATAATATTTAATAACATAAATGTAAAATAATAAAAAAAGTTTTAAAGTTCCCCGCGAGCATACGCGTCATAGCGTAAAGACACATCAGGTGCACCTAGGTACGACAACGACGATTGCGCTACACATGTTGGGTATCGCCACGCATGCCAGAGTGAGCAATAATTCTAGGGCCAAATATTTACGTGCATCTCAACTTTAATGTGTCATCTATGGACTTTTTGGGGTACTGAACTTTGTTACAATTTCACGGATGCACGCAATTTTTAATCTGGGTATGTTGGCTATCTATTTACTCGTTGTAACCTCATCTTTTATATTATACAAAAAAAAGTTTTATATTGTGTTTTGGGGCACAAAATTTAACTTAAGTGCATTTTTCACAATTGTTGGATTTGATAATAAGTTGCGCTAATGTCGTGCAACATAGAAATTTGCAACTTCCACCGTTTTATTCTACTGGCTCTTGGCTTTCAGAAAATATATAACGTTTGGGGGTTTTAAGTAATTTTCAGGCTTAAAATGTAGATTATGTAAACAAAAAACAAAAAAAAGGCCTTGGTCTTTAAGGGGTTAACATCTCGAGTATAAAATGCTTTTAATGCTGTAACGTTGGCACAGACTTTTCAGAATCAATATGTATTTTTTTCACAGAAAGCAGTATCCTCTCCAACTGTATCCCGCCTAACAGACGTGTCCAAATTTACGGGGTCTCATAAGGAAAGGTTTGACCCTTCAGGAAAAGGAAGAGGCAAAGCTGGCCGGGAAGACTTAGTTGACCAATCCGGATATGTATCAGGCTACAAACATGCAGGCACATATGATCAGAAAGTACATGGTGTGAGCAAATAGGGCAAAAAGAAATCTACACTCTGCTGTTAAATATATCAGTAAAGATTAGTGTTTGAACTAAAATATGGTACAGGATTAGCAATGTTTACACTTTAACACCAGCTGAAATCATGTAGAATAAGAGCAGCACTTCATTACATTCCTCTAAGGCCCCGTTCACATATAGCGAATTGTCGCGCGATTTCCGCCGCGATATCGCGCATTTTTACCGCGCGATATCGCGAGAAGTCGCCGGCCAATGTTATTCAATGGAGCTGTCTTAACTCCATGTCGCGCGTCGCTCGTCGCGGACGCGGTCGCAAGTCGCTTCTACCGGACCCTTTTTTCGGCGGATTTTGCGCGATTTTGCTTTTTTTCTATGGAGCCCGACGGGGAAGGTCGCGCTACCGTCGCTGGATCGTCGCTGGAACGTCGCGCTATCCCGGCCGTGCGGATCCGCTGCAAAAGGTATGTCGCTATATGTGAACGGGGCCTTATGTAAAAGAAGATGGCAATGCCGCACAAAATTAACATGCATGCTGGAACTTTTTTTAAAGTTCAATAAAGGCAAATAACATGTTAATCAAATTCTTATGACAGGAAGTAAACACATCTGGGGCCAATTCACACATTTATTAAACCAAATGTTTTATTTGCATTTGTTATTCTTTTCAGTAAACTTAGAAATTTTTGTGTGTGTTTGCAGATCATTTTGCACAATTAAAATGCATGCAAAAATTCACGCAACTGCTAGTGTTTAGAGGCATTTGAGATGCCTTTACCATGCATTCACATTGACTTCTGTGGAGGAATGAAAGCAAAGCACAAACTGATTTCCTATGCCTAGTCACTCTAGTCCCATTATACACCATAACACATCTTACAAATGCATGCATTTTTATATACAGGACTGTGAATGGACCCTAATGCTTCTTACGTAGACTGTTTCATGTCATTCTTCTAAATGCTAATTTATTCTAATATAATTTGTAATTGGGGTCACTTAGTATATATTACTTAATAATGCTGTACAGTAATTTTTTTATTTTTGTTAAAAATATATTTCTATTATCCATTTCAGCTTTTTTGTAAAAGTTGTTTAATAAATATTGATTATTTATCTTAAAATATATTGCATGTTCCTTAATGGTAACTACCCTTCATGATGAACAAAGGGTTAAAACAAGCCTGTTGCAAACTTGACCTGTTTGCTTTCCTCTGTTTAGAATCAAGCAATTTGGGAAGTAACAGGTGATCAGCAGGTTTCTCTGTGAGCTTGGGACCTTGGCATACACTGCTCCTGATTTGCAGTGACTGGATACAGAGGAGGCATCAGAGGTGCCACTTCTTTATTATCACATAGGTATGCTATGAGATAATACCCTATGAGTACTGTATGAGCCCTCTTGCAATAGTAATAATCACATTTGAAAAACATGTAAAAAGCCACATTCTTGTGCACAGTTAGGAAGCACGCACCTATTATGCTACAAGTATTGATTATCCCACTAAACTAAAGAACTGTGAAGATTTATAGAGGGGAATCTATCAAAACTGGAGCAGTTGCCTGTTGCAACTAATCAGCTTCTCTCATTTTTGAAGCTTAACTGAACAAACTGAAGAGAAAAGCTGATTGATTACTATGAGCAACTGTTCCAGATTCTGTCTGCTCAACTTTTTATAAATCCCCCTACTATGTATCACCTATTTACATTTTTGAGAATATTCATTTTTTGGCTCTTTCACAAGCACACGCAATTTTGTGGATAGATAGATTTGTTTATTGATGGGATGGGATTATATTGTTTGTGTACACTAAAAATTATTTTAGCTTAATTTTTGTGAAAATTATAGGCATTTATTTACATTTAAATGTATAAACATTTGTTCAAATATTGTACATATAAAATGGGAACTATCAGCTTTTTATTCATCTGCTTTCAAAAAAAATATATATTTTTGAGTAAATGTTCAAGTCTGTAATGTATTTCAACACATTTTAGTGGATGAAAATATAAAAGCTGATCCAGCAGCAAATTAGTTAAAGGTTCTATGTTTATATCTAGTGATTGATTTTAAGGGCCATGGAAGGTGTTTAAATCTTGTTTATAAAACAACTTTGTTGTACGAATGGAATGAAATGTGAGAACAAAATAAGGGAACAGTATTAACAAACAATAATGTGCACCCAGCCCTGTAAAGTGATCGCGGGATTTCCCGCGATTATCGTACGATAATCGTAAGGTGTGTGGGGACCCTAATTTTCCTTACCTGTTGTATAACTAGGCTGAGCATCTTGTTCACTTTCTCTCACAAGATGGCTACTCACACCATTATTGGTCCCACATTATTTTTAACCTTTGGTATTAATTGCCGTTACAAGAGATGAAGAGCACTGTAAAAAGTGAAAAGTCTGAAGACAACAAATATGTCAAATAAAAATAATTTAACTTTACTGAAATTACTGTGGATTGAAGACATCAAAATGAAACACATTCAGAGCTGGAAAACCCAGTGAAAATTGTCAGGATTGCTTCTGTGGTAAAGCCGACAGTCGGCTCTACAAGTTTAAACAGAGTGCGGGCGGCAAAAGGCATCGGGAGTCCGTTTAAACAGCCCCGATGCTGGCGACGTACACTGTACGTCGTCAGTCACGAAGGGGTTAAAGGGGAAGTTATGATGCTTTTTGACGTTTTATTAGTTTATTATGTTTAAGATGTTTCATATCTGGTTTTACTAAATATAGACAGTATTTGTTTTACAGATAAGAATTTAATACTTGATGTAGGCTTTCCAGAGAACTGGGGGCTAGTGTCACACTTCCCTGTGCCATGATCCGGCACCGGGTTTTGCTTCCTGTCCCAGGTGCTCGGCTTCCTGCTAATCAGATCTGAACCTCTGTTTTAAATCTGCTCGCTCGTTTCTCAGCGTTCGAGCAACGTGTTGTTTGACTTAGCCGGACCCCGTGTGCTATTGTTGCCTTGGATCCCTGCGGATTACTATTTACCTGGTTGGTTCCTTGTGTCTCCTGTCATTCCTGGTGCTCCCTGTGAGATCCTGCTTACCTGTGAGTTCGTCTTTCTCCTGTGTGGCTGTTTGTCCTTTCCGCCTTGCTTCGGTTATCTCTGGATAGCCGTGTTGTGCTGTCTTTCCGTTGTCTCCTTGTGTTCCCTTCCATTGTTGTTTGGACCCCTGCTCCTGTGTCCCTTTGGAGCCTGCACTGCTGTTTTTGTACAGACTTTGCCCTGTCTGTCTTTGTGTCCTGAGCCCCGGTGCTGCAACCAGTTCCCCGAGTCTGTGCAGGTGCCTAGAGGGCCGCAACCTGGAAGGTGTCCAGCAGCCAACCATCCTCACCATTAGAGAGGCTCTGTGGAAAAACCTGGCCCTTCTTAGATCCTGCACCTCTAGTGCGTCCCTGAAAACGCACAGACTTAGTCCCCAAGCTTTCTGTGATCAGCATTCCAGACATCACCCCAGCCAGCAATCCTAACCCACTCTGCACCCAGAGCTCACACTAAGCAGTGCCCCGGGCCCCAGATCGTGACAGCTAGCTAAAGACAGAAGCACAACAGAAGCGGCATGCCTTGGGAAGTATTTGTCTGATTGTGCCTCTTATCATTTAGTTTGAGCTACTGAGCTCTGTTAAGAAGAAGCAGCTCTGGGGCCGAGCTTTCATTAGCCTTTGACCAGCTTATGTATCATTTTGTGTTGACTTTTGTGATGCTTACACCTATTAAATTCGGGGGCAGTACTTGTGGCAGTTGTCTGGTAGGCTAGTTCCTGAGCTTAATTTCAAACTTTAATTGGAGTTGTCCCGTGCTAAAAAAATTGGAGAGAAAGAAGAGGGTCACTGACCTGGAATAAGTAAGCAGATCATGTGTGCTCACTTGCCTCATGCTTATTACGGATAAGAGAGCCAATAAAGGCCTGAAGCCAAAGAATCAACACAACAGCCAGGCTACTAGAGAGCTCAGAGAAGTTCAACAATAACAGCCTATGCACTGTGCTGTAAATGCAAAGGCATTGTTTTGTAAACACTAGTTTAGGAGTATCGGGCTTAAAATGCTTTTAAATCACAAGCATGGGGGAGATTTTTGTGGCCCTTAACTATTTCATTACTGCCATACATATTTAGATAGTGGAGTGTTGGCTGCAGTGTTCTGAGTGTTTACATTGTGTGCACACAGAATGCCTATGATCAATTATTTTTGTACACCCTCTGTATATCATAACAAATATGCTGTGTAATCACAATTGTATATTTGAATCGGTCTTTAATAATTTTGTTACTAGTAACTACGTAATTGGGGCATATTTATAAAGCAATGAATGTGAGATTTATCAAAATTTCACTGCAGATGAATACTCCGGATACATTTGTTTTAAATTACAATTAAACCAACTGTACACATTTGGTGAATGTCACAAATATCCCCTTCTTACATGAATGCTACATGAGTTACTTGTATGAAAATGTGCAAGTGTGAATAACTGAGTATTTTGTCTAATGTAAATTAGATTCTACCGTTCTGAAGTCTAGCTGATGGCTGTTTTAACTTAGTTTATTGAAGGGAAAATTCTTTTTTTCAGTTTTCACACATTTTGAACATATTCAGTAAAGCAGAGAGAACATTTAAAGTTGTAACCCATGACAAAAATTCCAAATCACTAAAATTCCTTCATTACTTTCTCCATTTCTAACAAATTATGGGCAAATCTGCCTCGGTTCAGTTCGCCAAGGTTTCAAACTTAGAGACAAATCCTATTAAAGATGAATCTTTACTGGCCATTTTTTAGTGCTAATAGGAAAACGACTGTTAAAAGAAATGGGAAACTAGGCACTGCTATGGGGGGACATGTATCAATGCAAGAACACCACACAGCAGAGAAAGGGTCTTTTCTTATGGCTTCAATTAGCTTGACTTACATACACTGAGTGGCCAGATTATTATTACCACCCCATCAGTACTTAGTTGGGCCACCTTTTGCCTTCCAATACTGCGGCGATTCTTCTTGGCATTGACACCATGAGATGTTGGAAGGTGATGCGAGGAATCTGACACCATGTCTGATGAATAGCACTGTCCAGTTCTGTGAGATTTGATGGTTGTGGAACCAGCTGCCTGATGGCTCTTTCAACTTCG